GTAAAGATAATAGATTTTCAGATTACCAATTGATATTTCAGTTAAAAATATAATATATCAATTATACCATCATTACGTATATTTAGTTCACCTCACAATGTGAATAACCAAAAATCTGCTTCGTGACATTTATCTTGAAAATTAATCAAATTGCATGTAAAATACAAAGAGATTTTTAGTTTCCTATTCTTTACTTGCAGAGTGTACCTTTGTATTAAAATTATCAAAGAGAATCATGGTTCAAGTAGGCATGCCTAAAAATACTAAGAAACGGTCAGCAAGTGATTCTAATCCAATTGAAAAGAAACCACCAGGAAATTTGAGTAAAGATGCTAAAAAGAAGAAAACAGAAAGTGTAGCTGTACAAAATGGACAAACAAAGAAGCAAATTAAAAAAGATATGCCCAAAAAATTAAATAAAGAGAAGAACGTAGGACTTCCTGAAGGTTCTAAAAAACAAACAAATGAAGGCAAACCACAAAAAACTGCAGAAGAGAAATTAGCATTGTTGAAAAGTAGACAAGAACAACGTGAAAAGCGTAAAGAAAATAGAGTAAAGAATAGAGGATTGCAAATTGATTTAACTCCTGAAGAAATAAAGAAGAAGATTAAAGAAATAGAAAAGAGGCAAAGTCTCACGAAATCTGCTAAGAGAAAATTGGCATCACTTAGAAAAAAGTTAAGTGTATTGGAGGGTACTGACGTTTCTAAAGACGGCAAAATAAAACAGGAAGTAAAAGTAAAAAATGAAAAATCAGTGGAAGGTGCAAAAAAGAAACAAGCCGTACAAAAGAAAAATGCCCAAGGAAAATTGGGAACTAAGTCAGTTAAACAGAATGAAAAGAATGGTACAGTAAAGAAAGGAAAGAAAGAAGAAAAAGAAGAAGAGGATGATGACGACGACGATGATGATGATGATAATCTTGAAATGGACGATGAATCAGATGGAGATGAAGATGAAAGTAATATGGAAGATGAGGATGAAGAAGAAGATGACGAGAATGACGATGAAGAAGATAACGCAGTCAAACAAGAAGTAACAAATCAAAAAGATGTTCAAGAGAATAAGAAAAGATATGTTCTCTTTGTTGGAAACTTACCATACACGTAAGAAATCTTATTGTTTCTTTTGTAACAAACATGTATCTTATACTTTATTAATCAATTTTATTTTTATTTTACAGTGCTACACCTGAAGAAATTAAAAAGCACTTTTTGACTAAAGTCAGCGAAGTAGCTAACATTAGAATACCTAAGAGAGATGACAACAAACCTCGTGGATTCGCTTATGTTGAATTGAACAATAGTACAGATTATGAGGTATATACCTTATACAGAGATACCTCATTGATCTTACATTAATTAGTTTTACATGTATGTTAATTATATGTTTAACAGAAAGGACTTGCTTTGAACCATTCATTCATTAGTGGAAGAAGGATAAACGTGCAATATTCAGCACCTAACAAGAAAGAAGGTGTCGCAAAGAACTTCAAAATGCACGCTCTCCAAAAGGCAGGAATGTTAGCAGGTGGGAAACGAAAAGCATTTTCCATGGCTGGAGGCAAGAAAAACCAGAATAGACGACCGACGAAAGCATAATTACTGAATCAGTAGAATTAATTCTAAATGAATTTTTATCTGTCACTATCTTCGTTATTCTGAAAGTAGATATAAGATTTTTTTTATATAATTATGATCTTAAATTGTAAAGACTTAATGTTGAATGATGTAGATTATTGGTAGATAAACAATTTATCTATTGAAAAATGTGTACAATTTATTTTTTCTGATGACCCAATATAGGTATATGTATCTGAAATCATCAATTAATCAATATCTACATACAAGAACAAACGTTTACCTTCACATATTTACGTTACAATACGTAATTTAAAAAGTTGTATATTGCTGACGGGTAGATTGAAAAATGTGATTTTTATGACAATTTTAGTAACATTAAATGTATGAGTACAATATATATATTTATAATATGTATTCATGGTATATTATAAGCAAAGAACGTATTGATTTTGATCTATAATAGAGAAAGTGAAATAAATTTGGTTAACTCGTTAGAATAAAATGTCTAAATCAGAAACAGCACATAAAGCAGCACAAGATGAAACAATTAATTCTTTAGACTTCGACGAAACGATTCCGTGGACGAATGAATTAACAGAGGTACTATCCTTGAGTTATTAGAAATATTTATTTGCACTTCTGCGCGTAGAAAGGATTTATGTAGAAAAAAAGTTCTTTAACACATTTCAGGAGAATCTACCCGATCAGATTATCTTTCCAAGAGAGTTAAATCTATTCCTACGAAATCGAATTCAGGTAGTTGCGATACACATCAATTATAGAGGATTACCAATTTAAAAAAATAACGTATGAAAAATGAATAACAGGATTTAGTTGCCGAAAATGGTTGTTTGCGTCGGGCGCTCGAAGAAGTGGAAGAGAAAATTAAGAAGAAACAGGGAGTTGGCGAACCGGCGCAATCAATGATTTTAGGGAAACCTAATGAATTGGCATCCGCGAAGATAATCGAACTTAGCAAAAGATGCAGAGAACAGACAGCTGAGATTGAAGTTCTCAAATCTAAATGCAAAACTTTGGAAATTAATTTAACTAACAAAGAAGTCGAATTAGAAAACGAGAAGCGCGAAAGGGGACGTTCGAAAACCGACAGCTACTCCCAAGAGAGTGAGTTACGTCAAATTCATCAGCTGTGCGCAGCGCTTTTTATATCGTTACTTTAATCCATCATCGTTCCATCATACTATGATCGAGATACAGGATGGTATCCTTGACAAAGGTACCGAGATTGATCAGCCGAAGGAGGATCAGGATCGAATGAAACAGTTGCTCGATAAATTACAACAATCGCAAACGAAACTGTACGAATCAAAAAATACCTGCGCCAGTCTCAAACAAGAGATTAACAAGTTGCACAAGGTATTCCTTTGTTTACGTCAGGAAATCGTAGCTAAAAATATGAGAGGGAAGAAGAGAATTTTTAAAGCTGCAAACGTAGTTACTATGTAGCGAAGTAGGCGAAAACGTGAGCTTGAATAATTTGTCGAATCAACCTGGTGGATGGCGAGGTAGGGCTGAACAGATTCATTTGTTGCAACAAAAAGTGAACGAACTGCAGTCGAGATTATCGGAATACGAAGGAACGCAAAAGACGTCCGTCGGTACTGAAATCAGAATTTCCAAAATCTAGAATCTTTTTGGTAAAATATGTATCTTTTATTAGCGTCCATAGAGCGAAAGACTCTTGAGAATCTTCGAAGCATTGAAAAAGAGAGGCGACGACAGATCGAAGATTCAGCGAAGCAACTCCGACAAACGGAAGTCGCCATTGAAGGATATAAGAGGAAGTTGGAGGCTTCCAAGGCGAGGATAAAAGTATTAGAACATGAATTAAACGTCGTGAAAGGAAATATTGTAATATTGAATGAGAAAAGGTCTCACGATGATCATTTGATCGAGACACTCAATGTAAGTATGGATACAATATGGAAATCGGTTTTCCTTGACACGTACGATATTGACAGAATCGGCTTAAAACTACCGAGATAAAGCATCAGGAACGTGAAGTTGATATAAGAAATAGAGAAGAGAGGATAGAGCGTGAATGCACAAACTTAAAGAACGATTTGCAGGCGGCACAATTACAAATTGAACGGTTACGTAGAAAATTGGAGGAACGAGAGATCGAGATAGATAAATTAAGGTGTTTTATAATTGAAAAATAATTGGCACATATTAGTCTTTATAGTTAGTTAGTATTGCCTTTATTGCTTTCTTTTGGGTTTTAACGACCAATGGACTTCCATCATCCCTTACAAAGACATATTTAAAACACACAACCAAGATATATAAAATAACTTATCACTAAACTTACCCGAACATATAAAACTTCAGAGTAAAATAGAACAATCCATCAAAATAGCCTGAACAAAAACAAAAACAAAACAGAAACATTTCGTATCCCATACTCACAACAAATTATCTTTGTACATAACAAAAGAATTTAAAAACTATCCTTAAATTTTAGACACTCAAAAACCTAAATTAATCATTATATTAATGAATTTTTAAACGTAGAAATCGAACAGTACCGAGCGTGGAGGAAATTAAATCTCGGAAGATTGCACAATCAGAAGTGTTCTTAAATAATTTCAACCACAATAGTCCTCCGCAGAGCGTTCGAAGCACGTGCGAGCCAAACGAATATGTAACTCTGGCTCTGGCCGCTGAGGCTGAAAGGGAGAGACTGTTGGAATTAATAACAGTACTGAACAGGCGATTGGATAAAGAAAGAAACGACAATGACATTCTTTCTGTGAGTCCTAGTCTGCAACACTGTTTTAGTCTTTGTGCGTTAGTCAAGTTATTAAATGCACGAAATGCGTGTAGAATTCCTTACGTAACGAAAAGAACAAGTCAGCGAAGTTGCTGTTGAAAATTCGCAAGTTAGAGACGGAAAGAGTAGGAATCGTAAAAATTGATTCTGGGTATAGAATGAAATTACCAAAATTATCGAAGAACAACGATGAAACAATGGATACAGAACAAATGCGTTTCAAGTATGTTTTAAGTATGCATACATATCTGTTTTTAATAATTTTATATAATAATACAGGATGGAATTACTGCAAGAGGAATGCCTCGCACTGAAAGTTAGATTGGACACAATACAGCAGGATAAAGCAGCCGATCTTTCGATGTATAAGCAGATGTTGGATCAAGCTAGAAAAATTTTTCAGGAAGCCTGCAGAAGCAAACCACTGCCTACCATCGGCAGTCGTTCTGTGATCACGGTGTAATTAGAAAATGAAACATTTTCTAAATGGTACTGTTTATGAAATACGACGTGTTCAAACAAAATTTCTTATAATTGTACAATATGAAATAAAGCATCTTGGTCATACTGATGAATCATGGATTAATCATTCAAGCTTGTTGTAAGTTCCTTCCGATCGAAACTGAGTAAGAACTATAAAATTGTGTGCGCGGTGATGTAACTGGGACACGAGATAAGGTGCAACGCTCCACGTAAACGCGCGTGACATCGGAGCAACGTTTCGTTTCTATCTTTCATTATTCTTCCTCTTTTCTCTGCGCGATGTATGTACCTGTATTTACTCAGAACCACTGAGTTTGCTCTTGCTATTGATATCGCTCGTTGGGTTTACATCCGTAGATTCGTCCTATTTTTCCAAGATTTGAAAATGTGCGTCGATGTCCGATGTACTTGTTATTTTCTTCCCTGCCTTCCTCCTTGATCAATGGAGAGGAGAAAATTTCTGTGCGATATAAGAAAATTTTATACAAATTGGTGTAATAACTGATGAAAAGCGATCTAATTGTAATCTCATTCTTCGAAGGAACTTTAGCAAGCTTTCAATTCAAATTGAATCTCAGTGTTTCAATCTGATTACTGAGTCATTTCGCTCCAATAAAACTGTACTATATCGAGCTTGTATACCTCTCAATTCATTCTGATCAAAATCAACATTCATCGAAAGTTTAATTAAAGTTGGACGGAATTTCTGGTGATCATAAACATTCTACGAAGTTTTGCAATACGAGATTGAGTGAACGAGGATGTCAATTGTAATATCAGCAGAAAAAACTTTCTTTCCTTGGAAAATTCAGTACAGGGCGTTCCCATCGGCGGTAAGCTCGAGCACACAGGTGCGAGCTTACAGGTGTTGGTGGTTCTACCTGATAAGAAACATACCCGTGACGTCAGATCAGCGCAGGTAGAGTAAGTATATGAGACGGACCGGAGAGACGTTCACGTCACTCGTTCTTGAACCTCTTCGTTCGTTTGTTCTGTAAAGAGTTCCTGCGTCGATTTATTTTTCCTCTTCAATGGCTCATTGCACATTCTGTTTTGTATTTTCTTTGTACTCGTGCGCGCCTTTTACCTCGCCGGTGACATGCAACGAGGAGAACCTACGAGCAGAATTTACGTTCATCCGGAAGTCTTGTGTGACCAGTCATCGTGGTTCTCGGGTCGAGTACACCGATCAGGTAAGTTACCGAGGGTTCCACGGATATTGGTTCGAGAACAAATCATTTTGATGTTCTATCATCCGTTCCTCCACCCGTTGTTGCAAATGAAAGAGGAAAAAGATCGGTTAATATGTTTCATACGGCAAAGAATCCTTTGTAATGTGAATTTCGAAGAAAAGCGGAAAGTTTCGTTTCGTTGAAAGCGCGCACGTCAGTCGTTGTTGAGGATCCCCGGGCTCGTGCACTTGCAGCTGGAAATTCTTCGTGCCGTGGTCTTTTCATGTGTAAATTCGAAGGATATACATAATTGCCATTAGAGAACACACGATATCGGTTTTGCGCTCGAACCGACGATTATATAACCGTGCGGGTAATGAAACTTTTTACAACGAATGCGATAACGTTGAATTTTTCAGGTATCAAGGATATGTATCTTTTCTGGCGACAGTACCGTTAAAAATATAAATGCTACCTTAATAAATAAGAATGACACTCGTTATCAAATGGTCGCATACGGTTTTCGTGTTTTCATTATGATTGCAATGGTTTATCAAATATTGTATGTATGTTTCATATCGTAAAGATTCAGGTGAACATTTATCGGGATAATTATGTACTAGCTTTTATTTAGTGTGCGTGGCAGGGGACACGTCGGCGCTGATAACCGAATTGTTACGATTATGGCGATAACAAAGTTAAATACGTCTTGTATTTGAATAGATGGTTGGAGTGTCGCAAAATGATTTAACCACGTGTTTCTTTTAGAGTTCCTGTTCGTTCGAATGAAACACATAAATGTTTTACATGTTGAGACGTTAATAAAATTATAGTTTTAGGCGAATGAGCGTTCAATTAAGACGATATCGCGAAACTCATTAAAGTCGGTAAATAGGCCACGATGGAGCCAAGGGGATCAGTATATCTTTTGATTTTATACTCTTTTATCTCGTAAAAAACAATGTTCTGCCACCTCCTTTAAAATGCTCGTAGACATCATAAATTTTAATTCCTCGTTTCAAACATAAGACCGTAGAAGAAAATATTTCAAGATTACACGAGTTGCTTGAAAACCAAACAGAAAAATCCTATTACAGAAGGATTTTCGGTAATGGCTGTGCGAGTCAACTCTCGTTATCGCTTTTATCGCATTGTCTACTGATAACGCGTAATCGTTGGCTTCTCTCAAAGATGATATCCGATATTTGTCGTCAGGTTTAACAAACGTGTGTTTTTATTGATTCTTTAGGTACACGATAAAAGCGGTATTAAAAACGTACGATATCTACCTTGATAATTGTTGGAGACGCTGAATGTTTCATTGTGTAACTGTCTTCAGTTTTTATTTGTCAAACGCAATAATGAGGAAAGGCATAAATTTTGTTGCTATGTTACGCGCACGATGTGACTTATGACACAGTTGCACGTTTAAATGGTTCCATACTATCGACGGCTATATGTGAAATTTTTTAAAATTACTATTACGTATTATCACGACTCATAAATATATTTCTAATTTAGATTTTGGTATAAAATATATTATCCGATATGCGGTAGAGGAGAAGACGAGAAGTATTTCAGGATTACCAAGTGTTTGTCTGTTTAAGCTGTTGCGTGAAATCAGAAAAATGTCAACTGAACAAATAGTTTGTCCAGAACCTAAGGTATTACCATAGGGAAAGTTTTTGCGTTTATTCGACTAGGTTTGTTTAAGAATTAGTAATTATCCGTTAATTATAGCCGACGTACAGTTACGGGCACAGTTATACATATATCGGTAATTTACGATTCGATTAGTCACAGCGCGAATACCTGTACTTAGCAAATTTTGAAACTTGCTCATTAATCTAATGAATAAGCAAAATTAAAAAATACTTTTTTGCAATCATAATATTAAAACGCGGTTAAACAAAATTGAATCGTATAAATTCATTGTATAAACATACTTGTTTTCAATGGGCTTTAGATTTCTCGGTTATTTTTAAACTTTTTGGGATACAAGTATAGAATTTAAAAAAAATAATCATATCCGAGCCTTTGCTTTCGAAAATTGGTATCAGATAACACTTATCGAAGTGGCGAATCAGTTAAACTTATCTCATCAAAATAATTCGACCTTTTGTATCATAATCTTTGAACTGTTCGCTTGATCGAATTCCTGTTCGTAGTTTAATGTACATATTTCCAGGCTGGAAGGTTCGTACAAGCGTGTCGGGACAAAGGATAAAAAGGAAGTGTTAACGACTCATGGCACGAGCTAACGTGCCGAAGATATGTTTACCGCGCAATCAGGTGGCTGCGCTAAAGAGGAAGAAGTTGCTCGCACCTTCCTGATAACAAGCAAAGCTGCTGTGCTCACACTACAGTTCGCCACAGCGACAGTTTCGATCCTTCTACGTTTACCTTTCGAACATCTCGATCTTTTTGATTAATTTTCTATACAGGTAAGTGTTTCATTTAAACGTAATTTGTTTTTCTTTCAGTCGACGAGGAATACATGTGTATAATGAAATGCTTAATACATAATTTATTGATTTACATTGTTGAAAATAGTAATTACTTATTTTGTATGGACAATGGACGGATAATCTTTCATGAGACAGAACTTTTGCAGCCGGCAACAGAGGAAGGATGCCTTTATATGTTCGAGTGAAGAATCGAAGGCGCGCACTATGAAGAGAGCTATCCATCGACAGTATGGCGATAGTAGACACTGTCATGGAGTTGCTCTCTTTGTGGACGTCGCTATATTCGGCGATTATTAAACGACACCAATGAAAGTGGAAAATTCACTTACTTGTTTAAGGATCCTCGCTTGTCGAAGTTCGAATAAATGTACATACTTTGCTTTTCATTCTTCATGTGATTACCTACTGCAAAAACAATGAATAATAAAAAAGCAGAAAATAATCTTTCCATTGAGAATCCTGTGTCTTCAAATAAAGTTATTATAATTATCCGTCGTCTCCTTGAGTTTATATTTTTCTCTCCTCTCGAGTGAACGCAGTGATGATTGTATTTTAAATTGACGAAGAATTTGCTGCACATCGGTACGCGCATGTGTGTAAAAAGTGAGTACATATTTTGAATAAAAAAAAATTAAGATCGCTGAATATGGTTTATATATCATGAGAGTTAATGCGTAAGATTGCGTATGATTAGGAAATCGCGTGTAAATTAACAATAATTCAATCATTCCGAGGGATCCATAAAATATCTAACAGGCACCAGACAGTAAATAGAAAATGTTGAATCTGCGTGACATTTTAATTGTTACGATAGCGCGCAAGATAATGTAGTACAAATCGTAAAACCATTCTTACTACGAAATTGATAATGCGATGTTATAAATAACTTTGTTCAAAATTACAATTTTATGCAATGTTTACATACTATACATGAAATATACACATAAAATATGATCTCCTCATTTCACTCTTTATGTGTATGAATATTTTAGAAGGTCCGCATTTTTTTCCGATGGACGAGATTTTGTTAGGGGTAAATTATAACGTCTAGGAAATTTGTTGCACTGCAATTCATGTAATGGTTGCAGCGTTGACAGTTAGCACGTGAAGTTAGCACAAGATGGATTCTGCTTGCAAATACATCAATTTCAACTAAACATCAACTAAACATCGATTTACAAAATGGGAAATCAATTAGTCGGTATTGCGCCTAGTCAAATATTTCCAGTAGAACACTATTTGACAGATCACAGTGACTTATTATTCGATGTAAAGTGAGTATCTCCTTCCACTATTACAAAAGTATCCTTAGCCTTTCACCAACCTATGTTCTGTCAAATTTCACCTAACATATGTACTTTGGTATAAATTAAAATATTTTAATAGCAAGTTCTTACATGTAAGAGAGATATTATATTTTTAAACATTTCATATAATTCT